TGCGCGCTGCCCTTTACAGTCTGCCAAACATTTCGTACTGCTTAAGGCAAGCAGTGTCCTCTTTTCCCCTTGTATAAGGTGTAATTAATGGCTTACTACAAGCCATCTATCTCGATTATGTGATCAGTTACTAGCAGACGAGTGCACGATACAGATTTTTCTGCAGGAAGGTCTCGTGTACTGCAGTATCCAAACATGTGAAGACACGATCAGACGCCTGAAGGTCGGCAAGAATTGTCAACGTGTGCGCGTCTTGACACTACCAAAACAGCAAATTCGTGGGCCAAGTTTCGGGTTGACTAAGGCAAAGAAAGTGGAGACGGCAGGATTGTGATGTGGTTGCGATGCTTACCCGCATGGGTGGGAGAGCCTAGTGGCGCCAAACGGCAAATGACAAGTCCCACACTCCGGTAGTACTAGGGTTATAGAGTCCACGGACGACGGCAAACAAGGTCCGGCGTCTTTTGCGTCAACAACTTCAAAAGAGCTGACATCGGAGCAGATGCTATGACTACGAATAACGCCACGGCTGACTATTCGTAGCATTTGGCGTGCGCTCACTGGGCGTAATCTGTAATCATTCGTCAATTCTATAAGATCATCGTCGGTGATTGTGTTCAAATTGTCAGAAAAATCCATTGCATCTGAGAGTGCCTGTGCAGAGAATGAAAAGGAAGAGATAAAATAACAGGGTAAAAGCTGTTCACCATCAGGCACTATGTAACTGGCTTAAGGAAAACGCGTGCATAACACATCTAAGGCAGTGACTCCAAGACAGCAGAGCTCAGAAAGGGGAGTCACGAAAACGAAATGATACTCTCGCCTGTACATTTGGGGGGCTAAAATACGGCATGAGTTAAATGTGATCATAAAAATGTGCCTTTGTAGCTCAATCTTCTAGGAATAAATTAACACATAACGGCCGAGGTTGGAAACCGGGAGAAAAGTGGTAGATGGGAGACCACTAACGGCCTGACGGAGTGGTAAAAACTACTGCTAATAGTGTCATCAAACATGCTCAGAGGGAAGCGGCAAAACTTAAGAGACTCAACCATTAGGGTGGATTCATAGGCGCGCTCAGGGCCTGCTCTGTGTTCGCTGCCGGATCCCACCGAAAGGCTTCTCTTGCACCCAACCGGTCCTCGAACGGGCCGCCTACATTTGAGGGAGAGGGGAAAAGGCAAACAACGTTCAGACGGTAATTTCTCCGTCTTTCTCAAGATGGACCACTTGCATCAGCGAAAACAATTTGCGCGTGATTTCGATTACAGCACTATTGGCCGCATGCAGTCTCATCGTATCCCAATCTTACAATATTCTAAAACGCCTAAGTCAGGCCAATACACTTTGTGTTACGGCGATCGCATCGCCTCCTTCTAAACCGCTTCCTGAAACTCGCCTGTTCGCTTCTATCAGTAAGTCGACGGGTTGTATCCGCATTGTAATTTTACGTTTGCGAAGAGGATGCACAGTACTGATAAACAAGAAAGAGTACAGTTATCTATCTAGTTCGGAAATACTGGGACCCTGCTGCGATTGGAACGACGTGCATGTGTCCAAGCTTACGATGGATCTAAAAATGGCGTTCGGTCTGGAATTCAAATACTGCAAGGCGCTTTTAGGAGGGGAGCCACAGAAGTTAAGCAGGAGGGCAAGGAGTAATATTCGGTCTCAGTGAAGTACTGCGAAAAGTCTTTGGAACAAAAATTAAATAGGTAGACGGAAAACAGTTGTATGACGGTTACGCCTAAAGCCGCTGATGACACCAAAGAGAAACGCAAGCTGTAAAGGAATACTGTGGCAAAGCGCACCTCTTCTAGAGAAAAGGACGGCTTAATGGAGGAGTTAAGGTCACCGTTGGGGCAGGCGTTAGTCTCGCCAGAGGAAAAGGTAGATCCGTCTCCGCTGTCACCACCACCTTGGTTACCGCCACGTCGAGCCTGAGACACAAGGAGCCTTTTTAGCCGTGCCACCTCTTGTTTTAGTGAAGAAATGACGGCCTTCGTAGTCTCTCCCTCCGAGGTCAGTTTGTTGATGATGGATTGTTGTTGTTGGTGCAGCTGCTCTTCTTGGTAGTGCTTCTCATGTAAGCGCAAAGTAACAGAGTCCACACGCATTGGCAAGCCATCAAGATCTGAGGGCCATACAAAGCACAGTGGCTGAAAAAAAACAAAAAGGGATGAGCAGGTCAATTTTGTAGTTAAAGTCTGCTAGATGTTTAAGAACTATTGTATTACATGACGCAGTAGGGGATTTCACGCCGTAAGATATACATTAACATGCTTTTGGAGAACATACATATTCACAAGATTGTAAACCTTAAGTGGAGAAATATCAAACCATTTTCCGATAAATATATGAACTACAAAGTTGGCATACACACACTCTCCCTGACTAGGAGTGAGACATAAACTCATGCCTTGAATCATATTCACGTGCATTTATATCTGCAAGTGCCTCCGGACAGCAAGAGTATCGGTCTGGCGATTCGCTGCGTACTTAAAGGGCTAGTAGGTCTATCAGTGAGACTAAGATGCCATAAGTGAAGGAGCCACGTAAAGACGACAGAAATATAAACAGACCAAGGGCGAATACGTAAACTCCATAAAACGAAATCGGCCGATCGACTCTCATTACAACTACAAAAACAGGCAGCATTTTTGAAAAGCTAGAGGCTTCATACTTAAGGGCCGATATGGCAATTCAAGTGGGGCACAAACGTTTGCTGTAGACTGCGTAAAGAATATTGCGTGTACTACCGACACCAAGTCCTGCAAGGGGCTGATAAAAAACCCAAAACACAGTAAACTAGGCACAGACAGTAAAGCATGGGGCAATTTTCGGATTTAGAAAATGGCACTTTATCGGTCGGCGTAAACTAACTGAAACCGCATACGATGCCGAAGCAGTTTGCGGCCTAGGGGTCGAGAACTCTATGGTTCTAAACCTCGTCTAATTGTGAACCTCTAATTTGTAGGACAGCGAGCAAATTTAGCGACTCAAAAAGAAGCCATCCTTTGAGAGTCCTATTAGTTCTAAAAATGGGTGAAGTTCGTGCGAACATTCCAAAGGAACAACTACTGCGTCGTCTATATTTGATCAAACACCTATGCAGTTGTCTGTAGAATAGGGGTCGAAGAATACGGCTAAACTAAAGTTAACTCCTGAAGGTTTCTCGTCTGTAAAAGTAAACGCTTTTGTTGGTTTTACCCTTAAAGAGCCACTTTTCATAGTTTCGAAAAACGGGATATACGCAGCAAAAAGTTATGACTTCATTAGAGCAGCAACTGACAAGCGGATAGCAAAGAATGTGTGTAAAGTGAATGTGATTTGAAACCTTTCAGTCACATAAGCCCAAGCTGTCGCTAAAACTTAAGGATTGCGGGGGCGAGGGTGGTGAGAGAACGAGTGCCGGTGTTTACTATGGCTCTTAGTCACAAACGGAAAAAAAATTCTAGGCGTCATTGAGCCGTATTCTGATACCAAAATGGTAATAAATCACAAACAGCCTTAAAGGTCAAACAGAGGAAGGCAGAACATCTTCCTTAGGACCTGTTGTTTCTTGTTAATGCCAGTAAACTGCGGCTTCGGGGACTTATGGGTTTTTCGATCATGAATGAGCTTTCAATTACTTCGCACAGCACCGTTAACTGTGAGAAAATGTTCAATTTAGGGGGCCAAAACAAGACACAACTGTAGTTATGGGCAACATTCGCAAAACTCGGGTTGTGCCATAAAAATACAAACGTGCTGAAAAGGAAAGAACATCAAATAGAAACACAAACACAGTTCGTGGTTAGAAAAACTATAAAACAAAATACTATCGTCTGTCACAACACCACAAGCTGCAATGAACACCGTTCAGAGTAACCGGCTCGAACAAGAGGTCATGAACACAAAAAGGCAAAGAAATAGGTAAGGAGAGTTCGAGCACTTATTAGTATGAGTGCTCGTCAATAAAGGTGTCCTAGTTTACAATCTTTACTTAACTATGTTATAAGTTAAATTCAGGCGTTGCTAAGACCAGGTCGACACACTTTTGGGGGACAGAATCGGATTGGAAAGATCCGCATCTAACGGATGACTGAAATTCACGCAGCGCAGGAGATTTGTCCTCATATATGGCATTAAAATGAGTTACCAAGAGGTATCACTGTTTAATATGGACTAAACGAAGACCAAACAGGTATGCAGTCAACGTAGC